CCGCCGCCCAGGGCAGCCGCCCTCCCGTGGCCCAGGCTGGGTCCCACGCTGCATGGCGCATGCGGGCACCTGCCCAGCAGTGCACCCCCTAACTGGCCCTTCTACTTGCTGTGCCAGGTGAAGTGACCAGCGGCTGCCCCTCCCCCTGCCTGAAGAAGAACGTGGCCATGGGCTACGTGGCAGGCGAGCACAGCCGGGTGGGCACGGCCAGGGCAGCCGCCCTCCCGTGGCCCAGGCTGGGTCCCACGCTGCATGGCGCATGCGGGCACCTGCCCAGCAGTGCACCCCCTAACTGGCCCTTCTACTTGCTGTGCCAGGTGAAGTGACCAGCGGCTGCCCCTCCCCCTGCCTGAAGAAGAACGTGGCCATGGGCTACGTGGCAGGCGAGCACAGCCGGGTGGGCACGGCGCTGATGGTGGAGGTGCGGAAGAAGAGCTGCCCTGCCCTGGTCACCAAGATGCCCTTCGTGCCCACCCGCTACCACACCCTCAAATGAAGCCTCGCTCCCAGCCCCACATCCACCACCACGGGGCCAGGTCCCCCTCAGAACTTCCCACAGGGCAGCCTGGCCCCATAGCAGCCCAATATCCAGGCACCTTCCAGCCCCGTCTGAGACCCAGCTGAGCCAGGCCAGTCTGTGGGTCACTGTGGGGAGTGAGCAGCTGGGCCCCATTTTCAGGCACAGTGTGGCCTGCTGCAGATGCCCAATGCAGCCAGCCATTCCCCGTGCTGTCAGGCAGGCTGGCAAGGTGAGAACCAGCTGGGCACACCCCATAGCCATACCTGGGCTGTGATTGTCCATTAAAGACCCTGACTCCAGTCCTGCCTGGCCGCTCATCTCTCCCTGGACTAGGCGCGAGACAGGAGGTGCCCACCACCACTCATGCCTGGATCCTGCCCCCCGGCATGGAGCCCAGAATCCCCAGTGGGGCAGAGGCTGGGCCAGGGCAGCCCAGCGGAGACCAGCACACCTGACCCCACAAGCACAGGGGAGAGCGGGCACTGTGCCAGCAGGCCCATTGGAAAGGAGCTGGGGGGGCTGCGCCCCTCTGCCCCTGCCAGGATGGGTCCGCAGGGGGCCTTCCACCCTGACCCAGGAGGCATCTGCTTCATCCCTGCCCTGGCTCCAGCCGGGGCGAGGCCGGGCAACCCCATCCCACCCAAGGAGGAAGACAAGAGGTTCGAGGTGGCTGCCATCTGCCAGCTAGGGCCCTTTCCCAAGGACCGGGGCCAGGGTGAGCAGGGGAGACGCAGCCCATGACCCCAGCAACGGAAGGGCAGCGCACTCAGCAGGAGTTTAATCCAGCCAGCAGGTACAGCAAGGCCAGGGCTGGGGCCAGGTGCAGTAGGAGGTGGTGCTGTGGCAAGGGCCTGTCCTGTCCTAAAGGTGCCAGGCTCCACACCCAGCAGCGCCACCCCCTGCCAGACCACTAGCATTACTGCTCCCCAGGTGCAGAGAGCCCCTCCAGTGCTGGCCCGAGTGCCAGAGGGCCCCTGCCCACAAACATGCTGCTCCCCACAGCCGGCACCTGGGCAGGGGAGCTGTGTGGGAGCAGGGTGGGAGCTGGCAGCCCTGCCGTTGCCCCAGGCCTCCCACATCCCAGGCAGGGGGGCAGCTCAGCTCTGCTCCTGCCTCATGTAACAATGGGATGGCAGCTCCCATGCTAGGTGGAACCCTGCCCCGAGGAGCACTGGGGGAGGAAGAGATTGGGAAGCAGGGGGCTCTGCTCCCGTGGTGGGGGTAGGGAAGCTTTTCGGGTCAGCCGTGTCCACTGTATCCTCCACCAGAGTTGGGGGGGAAGGCTCAGAACAGGGCTTGAGGGCACGTGCCAGGGAGAATTTACGCTGGGCAGGCAGCTAAGCACAGACCATTCAGTGCCCCCCACGTACATTAGTCACAGGCCTATGGGCGCTGCTGGATCTGGGACAGGCGGGGGGAGGGCAGCACCGATGCCCCAGAAGTGACCAAAGGGGCAGCTTGCCCTGCCTGAGGCCATGCAGAGTTGCCACCTGGCTGGACACCTCCCTGCTCCTGGGTGACAGGGCTGCAGGCTCCCAGCCCAGCAACGTTCCCCCAGCTGGAGCTGTCCCAGGTCTGCTGCCCACTGCACATCCACGTCTGTCCAGCCTCACTCCCTGTGCGTCTTCGCAGCCTCGTCGCTGGAGCTGTCCCTGCAGGAGGCAAGAAGAGAGCAGGCGCGTAGCCAGGGCTGCATGGCGCGTCCCTGTGCGTCTTCGCAGCCTCGTCGCTGGAGCTGTCCCTGCAGGAGGCAAGAAGAGAGCAGGCGCGTAGCCAGGGCTGCATGGCGCGTGGGAGAGGCCTGAGGCCTGGCGGGCAGTGGGACAGGACGGCTCGGGTCCTCGGGCAGCTGCCAGTGTCTGGGCACAGGAGGCACCACTGGGGTGCCCCCGGAGCAGGTGTGGGAGAGGGC